GCATTTTCCACAACGTGCAACACTCACACTGCATAAGAAAACATGGTCAGCATTATGTAGTGCACATGCCCCGACCATATGTCTAAAATGCTAACGAAGCACTGTCCGCTTCGCTCTGTTTGTCTTTGGAATGCACTGCGTGCACAGGAACACAGAGTAACAGGGTGCAGGTAAGAGAAGGGGATCAACGATGGCAGAGTCGCACAACAATAGTAATTGGTCGGCCGCTGCGAAGGGGCCATACCAGTGCACCGAAACGGGTAATGGTGCCAGGGAGGGAAAACCGTTGTTGCCATCGAGCAGCCAGAGGTCAGCACAGAGCTGGCAGGACATGTTATCAGACCCATGGTGCGCGGAAATGTACGATTTACTGACTGAGGGTGCAGCAGAGTGGCCCCAGTCCTGCGGGGAACAGTCTTCCTGTTGTATGGGAAAACGGAAAGCAGGGGACAAGACAAGAGCGAGAGATGAGCAGACCGACATCACTTACGTGGTCGAATTGTTCCCTTTTATATGGAAATCTCCGCAACACGCCATACCCATATCAAAATCCGACATTGAACAGTTGTCGGACGACGGATGGCTGAACGACAATATTATTGACATTTATTTGCAGTCTGTGTATGAAGAGGTTGGGCGGGGCCAGGACAGGTCTTATGTTCACATCTGCACAACTTTCTGGCACCCCGAGGTCGTCGCCAATAAAAAATTTGGAAAATTGACGAAAAAAGGATGGGAGGACGCAATTAAGAAGAGACCACAAAAATTGCATCGACTGTGCAACGAACTGCGACGCGCGCCGGTCACTGTGATACCAGTGAACCGTAACAAATACTGGATTTTTCTTTTGTTGCTGAATGCGAGGTCCTTCTTGGAGGTCACTGCGGACAGCCGCATATCCGACCCTCCCATTGCTATCGTCGTTGACTCAATGAGAGAAAAAAACCGAGACGAATGGACAGCGTTGCGAACACTTTTGTGGCACGAGTACCTTCACGAGGCATCGAATTTGCAGGCTTTGACACCCGAAAAGGTTCATTTTTCGTGGGTGACATGCAGGGATCTGGCAGGAAATAAACTTGTGCATGCGGAATGCCCGCAACAGAACAATCACACAGACTGTGGTGTTTATGTGTGTTGTATCGCTACCACCGGAATACAATTTCTTGGAAGAACCGCGGCAAAGGATCTGACGGCCAAGGACGTACTGGAAGTTATCAAAACTACAAGGGTGAACGAAAGAACTGTTCGACAATTTCGCGAGTCGATGCTGGACCGGCTTGCTGCCTGTGCTGCAGTCACAAAAGGCAACGACACTTTAGCGGCTTCACAAGTAGCCACAGCGTTGCAAAGAACAATAAACAGAAGAGAGAGCAACACTTTCATAGAATGAGATGTTGTCCAGGTCACCGAACGCGATGCGAGGAAAGTTGACTACTGCGGGCCAAAATGACATGAAATGTGGGATGTGCGGACATGATTGGCCCCCAGTAGCCAACCTTATCGCAATGATGACGAGGCAACTATTCCGATGGTTTTTTTTCTAGAATTTTTTTTTTTTTCCAGATCATGCGATCTCCTGCCACCTGACAATACAAATGCAGTCACTCTGACGCACAAAGAGGTTGCTCACTTGCATGACTTCGCAATTTCAAATCTCTCTCTCTCTCTCTCTCTCTCTCTCTCTCTCTCTCTCTCTCTCTCTCTCTGCGTGACAAACAACATTACTGACGCACTTGTGGTTCTTATTCCACTTTGATGCATGTGGAAAAAAAGGGGTGATGGCTCCAAGGCCAAAATACGAGGATCTGTGCAGGTCTTTGAAAGCCGCGGGAAAGAAGAACAAGTGCCGGAAGAAATCGAGGGCCGAAAAGAAGCAGTCGAAAGAGCATCGCAGAAGTGGCGTCGGCCCCTCTGCGAAAACGGAGCACAAGCGCAGCCGCAAATCCGGATCGAAAGTTACAGTCCCTTCGAGTACACGGTAGATTTCAACGCTGAAAGAACGTAACGAGTCGCCCCCCTCGACCCCCGTCCGGGGAAAGCGCGGAAGCGGCGCCGAGAACCGTCCGCCAAGGGCCCCGGAAAAAAGATTGTGGGATGATAGAAGCGCGACTACGCACCGCAAAACAAAGAAGAGAATATCCTACAAAGACGACAGAACAGTGGAGACAATCGATATTAGAGGGTCTGACGACAGGCACAACGGACCCCAAGTGGAAGAAGAGGAGGAACACGACCGTTCCGCGCCAGAGAAGTCAGATGGTGCGGAGAACGAGGAGCCAGGAAACGAGGGAGACGACAGCGATTCTTCCCGCAGACAATCGCAAGACACCAATGAGGACGACGACAGCGACGGCAAGTCGGCCAGCGAGAGAACCGGCGAAGACCAGAGCACCGCTTCGAAAAGAGGTGGTTCGCCATTTCCTTCGAGGACGCTGCGCAGAGAAGGAGAACGGCATTCACGCAATGGCAGCGATACTGAGGAGCGTGTCGGTGACAGACAAATCGTACAGCACGTCAGCGCCGCCGAAAAAGGTAAAAAACCCCGCGTCGCACTAACTCCCCTCCCACTCCGATCACATAATCCCGTGCCCCCACGCGGTGCACGCCTTTACGCACGGAGAAGTGTCTTTGTAAACGCACAGCCGATAGCCGAATCTTCAATTTTACAAGTGTTGTATTCAAAACAAGGCGCTGAGTTGTTAACACTCTCCTGTGCGTTGTGTCTTCTGTTTCCCACCGATCGCAACGTCACGAACGAAAGTGCGCGCAAGCGGCGGAGCCGTGCAAAGACCGAAGGACGAGGGCACCGCATTCGCGAAGAAAATGAAGGGCAAGCTGTTGCGTTCCGTCGCCAAAGCCTTTGCGTTCTCTGCGGCAAACGACGCAACTCTGTACCCGACAGAGGACGCGATTTTCGCGGCGGTGCAAGCGACGGCGAAACTGGCAGGGGAGACGGCAGAGGAAGGGTTGCGATCTCACATAGCAGAGTGCGGGATTCGGGCTGTAATAGGGGAATGAAACAGAATGATGACGACGATCCACGGAGAGATTACATGGAAGCTGAAACATTGGTTTTGGGCTGAGAAAAGGATTTCGCTCGTCGGATCGCAGCAAACGGACCACCACCTCCCCGCTCGCAACAAGATGCACACCGAGATGAAGGAGAACAAGACGTGGAGACAGAGCGGCGACGATCCGTGGGGCGCCTCCGCCTTTAAGACGGCACTCTTAAAAGTTTTTTAGGTGAGGAAGGAAGGCCGAAACCTGGCGTCACCCTGCAACAACTGGCTTTTGCGGAGATGGTCATTCAATGTGAGATAGAACAGACAACGAATACGACACGAGTTGCGGAGCAGATAGAAAAATTGGTATCTATAAAGCAGGCAATCGTCTCATCTCTCCGTAGCCGAGACACGGTAATGAGTTTTTCCGTCTTCAAACTGGACCGTTCCGTATCCGTGGCCGAGAAGGCAGCAGCGCTCTTTCGCTCTGGCACGCCGTCTGTCCACAGGCCTGGGCCTCCAAGCACCACAATAACGGATGACGATTACGATATCGAGTTCATTCTCCCTTAGAGTACAGCAGCTGGAGACGGGGACAGGCGCACCGACAGTCTGTGCGCCGCACCCTGAACAACGAGGGACAATTTGGTGACATTTCGACATGGAAGGGAGGATGCGGAGCAATAACCAAACGGTGGACCGAAAGGTTCTTTTTTTAGACGTTTCGAACCAGGAGATGCAAAATCGAAGGCCACAGTCGGTGCAGGATAGAGAGAGAGAGAGAGAGAGAGAGAGAGAGAGAGAGAGAGAGAGAGAGAGAGAGAGAGAGAGAGAGAAAGATATAAAGACCTTCAGTTTTGCAGAAGAGAGAGAGAGAGCGAGTGCTTGCACGCACGTGCACCGCTTGAGGATTGCGAGCCGTATGCTCCATACAGTCTGATAACTACACAACTTCTGTTATTTTTGATACACAATTGTACAAACATTTGTAATGCTCATCTTTGTGCGATTGAGTGGTGTGTGCGGCTGACTCTGTAATGGTAACATGACACGACAATGTGTTTT